TCCTCCACAGAGGCCAGGCAGAGCTTGTCCTGGTGCTCCTTGAACTGATAGACACTCAGGGCCTTCTTTTGATTCAACCCTTCCCCCTGAATAGGAGACAGAGCACCCTAGGAGCAGCACCAAACAGTGGGTGCTAGGAAAGGCCCAGAAAAATGGGACAGAGTCCCCAGAAGAAGTTCTGCAAGGCCAGCCCCTTGCGCTATGCGCAGTACTACCATCGCCATGTCTTCAGGGTGTTCTTCGCACTGGTTTCTTTCCATTTCCTTGCAAAGGGCAGCTGCCGTGATACTTGGACCCTAAAGATATGAAGACCAGGCACAAGGAGGCTGAGCAATTTGCCTGAGGTCATAGCTGATGTAGCATGGAGAATTGGGAACTAAAGGAATTGTCCCAATAGTAGATAAGCCCTTCAGCCATCTTGCCTTCCCAAGGATAATTTATAAAAAGAAATGTCAAATGATTTTGTCTTTTGAAGCTAAGGATATTATGGAGTCTAGTGCCATTAGCTCAGCATTTAAGACTTGAATATTTATCACATGACAACTATCAAGGTCTACTGGTATCTCCTTAAAAGCATTATCCTTTTTCCAATTTTGTTAAGATTTAGGAATTTTTGACTGTTTAAAAAAATGTGCCTGGGAGAGAACATCCAGAAGGTTTTAGGTTCTTGTGAAGCAGTTGTAGATCAAAGACCTTTGAAAACCAATGTCTAAAATGGATTAATACTCTCTACAAAGGAATAGTCAATAAACTGGAAATCTGGAAATACCGGCGCAGAAAGATTCTTTATTTACTAGAAGAAAAGCAGCCCTTCTTCAAACTTAAAAAAAAAAAAGACAGATTCTTAGAGATTGATATCATATAGACCTTGTGAAATTTTGTATCTTATGAAACCAATATCTCAATATTCCAAAAAAAGGAGTCAATAGGACATCAGGTGCTGCAATGATCTGACAAAATTCTGTGCACAGAAACGAAAATCCCGGGCAGAAGAAATTCCAGGGAAGAAATGCCTAGCTTCACCTCCTCACTTTATAGGCAAGATGCCTTCCAGGTAACTTATTACGTAAGAAAGTATCTACAAGCCCTTCTCTCCCCTGAGAGTCTGTGTAATCTACCATCACTGGAGAGAGCAGCCCTAGGCATACATGGGACACAGCCTCCCAACTTTGACTGCACACTCCAACTACAGGAATCGCAACACATGTGAGTTTGTTTGTTTTAATTTGGAAAAAAAAAAAAAAATTGTGATGCTCCTGCTGTTCATTTCCGAAGAAAGTCCAGATGTTTTAGTAAGGACAAGACCATTCAATTTAAGTGGGGCCTGCCTGGGTTTGAAGTGTGACATCCCCCATACTCTGGATGAAGTTAAGGCGGAACCGCGAAGTACTCTCACTGGAATTACCAACGCAGGACTGGTAAAATGATGAACTCTTCTATAGTATATGTCTAGTGTTAGGTTGAAACGTTGATTAATTCCTGACAAAAACACTAACTTTCTCTTTTATCAGCTTCTGGGTATGCACATTACATTCTAAGAAAGAGCGTTAATTATAATGTTTAAATCTCAGATTACATTAGGGGTGAAGAGTGGAGAACAGAAATGTGTATACATTCATTCTGTTAAAAGAATATTTCATTGACTAATCTTAAATAAGAATTCCCTCAAAAAAAAAAAAAAAGAAGAAGAGAAACAGAAAAACAAGACAGGTGTCACACTTCCTCAAATATGGTCAACAAGTTGGGTGCTTACAGTTTTCATTTTTTCCAATTACTCATCACACCCTTTGCCACATGGCATTTAATTTCCTAGTGGGTTTTTTTTTTTCCTTTTTTCTAAAACTTACTACCTATTTAAGATCTCATAAGGTAAAAAACAGGTTTACAGCTTTTACAAATTTAGGAACTAAGATATTTTACCCAAATAAGCAAAGCACAGAGTAATACACAGAATGATCCTTTTGTGGGGCTTTTATTAGCATATATCTTGTTTTCTAAATTTCTAAAGCATAAGTATAAAATATTTTTCACTAATAATACTGATTTTTGATTAATAAGAGTTCGCATGCAGGGGGAGGGGAAGGGGGAAATACAGCGGAGGAGACTTTTGCTTTTCATGTTCTCCCTTTGGCATTACCAGAAACTTGTATTTTTTTTGTTTGCTTTCTACTGTAATTTATCATTATTATTATTTTAATATAAAAAGTTCAAGAACCATGCTGAGAACCTCAACCACTAATGTGTGCAGGGCCTCTCCAGTAGGGGGCATGATAGATACAACACGGAGGATGCAGGATTAGTTTACCAAGTCGCTCTCGAGCTGTGGTTTGCTGTGTAATATTTACCACAGAATGGAAAATATGTGTGATTTTAATATTGAGCAATCCCATTTACCTAAAAGCCAGTTGCAACAACAACAGCAACCAAAAAAAAGGGAAGTCTTGAAACACTAGTTTTTGCTTTAAATATATGTCTGCCTGTCTTTAAAAAAGACAGTAACATGGCAATTTTTTGACAAAAAGGTTTCAGTCTATAGAGGGTATTGGTTTAACTCTTAAAATTTCCCATAAATACAGAAATGATAAATTACATTCAGATTTGTCAATCGACCTCATAATTTTCAAGAAAAAAAATATTTTTCTGCCATATAACACCAGTTGTCAATTGGATATAGTTTATGAAAAAAGCAAAGCATTATATTAAATGCTTACAGAAACATCTAGAATAGTCTATATTTAAACCAGTTGCTTACATGGATATATACATACACACACACATACATACATACATATTTACTTTTGTGAATATATTAAGATGATTGAACTTTTCTAGCTTGGAAATCTCTGAAAAGTTTAAATGTCCAACAGTTCACTTATTTTCCTTATTTGCTTACTATCCAGAGAGCATTTACTAAGTATCTAGTAAGTATCTATGAGCTTGATACTCTACAATTTTCTGAGACATTATCTTGCTATGTAAATAGTACTTACACATTTATAAACTAATTAACTGAGTAAATCCTTTAATGATTTTTCTAAAGTAACTATGCTTCCAGATATTTCCTTTCTTCATACATACGCAAAAAACAAGTTTGTACGGTACTTTAGAATTTGCAAAAGCCTTTCACATAAGATTCGCATAATATACAATGAGATTGGCAAGAAAGACACATTATTGTTCACACAGATGAGAAACTGGAGCTCAAGGAGCTGAGATTGGATTATCCCAACACTTACTTAACATGTATTTATTTAACGCAGATTAAGCTGAGACTCCAGTTAGGGCCCCTGACACCAGTCTAGCTCTCTGCCCCTGCTACCTGTCAGAACACCTGGCCCTTCCACTATGAGCAAGCTCTACCATTCAATGTTCTAAGTGAAAAATATATTGAGGTTTTTATTGGCAAGAAAAAGCAAGTGTTTGCATATTACACGTATTTAATAAATATTGAATCATTAGAAAGTGAAAGTAGATGTGAGAAATATTAAGTGATGTTCTTTCAGAGATGAAGCACAAAGCATATGCTTGAAAGAAGTGACATTCTTACATTTCGCAAATATGTTTAAAGTATTTATTTAAAAAATTGAAATGATTTTCCTTCCCATAATAAAGTATATGGCTTTTCTTTATAGCAATAATTGCAGATTTTACCCTCCAAGTCAAACTGTGAGCTCCAACTCCTGGCAGCTCACCATAAGAAAATGTTAAAATGGTTCCAAATTTAACATTTCTAATGCAAAGTAGGGAGAATATTTGCAGCCTAGTCAATATCTTGTTAATCTTATTGTATTGTCTCCTTGGATGCTTGATGGGAAAACCACTTGAATATTCCACTGTTCAGTTCTAATAATGTTATCTGAAATCAAAGAGTTTCCTGGTTGAGGCTATCTCTTTTGCCTTACCAATCGGACCATTTAAAGCTTGCTAAAGCAGAGATGATTTTTGAAGAATTAAGAAGTTAAACTTATTTAAGCAAGCTGTTAAATTCCCCTACCCTCCCTTTTTGCCAGTTATTAAGTGTTCTGGTAAATTATAAGCCAACTGAGAATGACTCATGAGGAATTCCTACATCCTGGCGCTCTTAAACTAGAACGATGTTGGCGCATCACAGGCTGCGAGGTCTTGGTGTTCCCCTGTCTCATCATCCGGAGATCTGTGGTTTCTGCTCTGGAAAGAGGCAGCCACGACTCCTGAGGAGTCAGCCGTGAGCCCCACAGACAGACCCAGTCACGTTATCTCATGGTACTCAAAAACGCACATCCAGTCACTCTCTCCTGTTCCTTCCCTAACGTTCATTACACGAAGTGCCTCACGATGCCCAGGCAAGCTGCAGAGGAGGCCACACCACCGCACGTGCACTGTCACTGTGCCTCCTGTTCACAGTGTCCTTCACCAAATTAAATGGAGTCGCACAGAAACCGGTGAGGGTCTCCCCGCGGCCTCAGTTTATAGACCAAGAAATGAGGCGTGGGGACAGGGCGCGCTCTCAAAAAAAAAAAAAAAAAAGGGGGGGGATCTTAATTTAAAAAAAAAAAAAAAAAAGGTGGGGACAATCTTAATTTGAAATAAGGCAATTGCACCCTGGTTCTCAGCCTGCGGGGACTCATCACCTGCTTCGGGGGTCAGGAGCAGGCACGTATGGGGGAGCGAGCGCCCCCGCCCGGCCCTCAGCCACCTCTGCAGGCACAGCCCTGCGGTCCCGCCCAGCCGCCACGCCTTGGCCAAGGCCCCGGGTGAGGGCTCAGAGTGAAAGGTCCCCGTCTGCTCCCCGCACGGGCCCCAGCCCGCTGCCGCGTTCCGCCCCAGTGCGCAAAAAGCCGAGACAGCAGACGTCAGCAGCGCCCTCGCTTCCATACCCTTCGGCGGAGACGTGACGACCTCCGGCCAGGCTAACCCCGCCCCCGGGCCCATCCGCAGCTGGCCAATAGGCACCCTCTGGGGGCGGGGACTGCGTCGCGAGACCCCGCCTCACGCCGCTACCTGCTATAAGTTGGGCTGCGGCGCGCCCCGCCACAATCAGCCGCAGCCCCCGAGGCAGGACAATAATGCAAAGTGCCATGTTCCTGGCTGTCCAGCACGACTGTGGATCCATGGACAAGAGCTCAGGCAGTGGCCCCAAAAGCGAAGAGAAGCGGGAAAAAATGAAGCGAACCCTGTGAGTACGGCTTTCTTCTCTCTCCTGCCACCAGTGCAGACCTAGCTCTATGGGTTTGCTGAAACGTTGTGCTTTGCAGCTCGGTTTTAACAATAGGAAACTATGTAGCCTGCGCCTCTGCAGGAGGAAAAAAAAAAATGTGGAAACGCTTAATTTGCTAAGTAAGGTTAAATCTGTGTGGTGTGTATTTTGTTGCGTGAGAGGACTATCGGAATTTAGGAACTGAAGAAAATTCTTGATAGAGAGGCGGTGGTAGATGCGCTTAGAAATTGCGGTTGGCTTTGTGTCCCCCTGCATTTAAAATGACAGCTGGGAATCCTGCGGCTGAAGGGCGTCCCCATCGTTCCTACGTTGCGTTTTAAGTTCTGATCATCTTACACAGCTGCGGCGATGGAGATATTTTTGCTGTTTCTGAATATATTCGTTTTAAAACCATTTTTTGCTGTTGTTGTTTCTTTAGTTTTATAATTGATCATCTGCTTAAAATGAGTGTTGTAGTCAGGGAGTGGATGCCTCAGCCACACACATCCCTCGTCGTGCACAGCTTCTGGTGTGGTCCAGAACCTCCTACTGCTAGGACAGAAGGGAAATGAGCATGGACTGGCTCAAGGCAGTCCCACTGTCAGCTTCATCAAGGGTGAAATGCCTCTGGACTGTAATTAACGTTGCAAAAAAACTGCTGCCTTTTGCCTGCCAGAAATAGTATCTGAACTATGCAAACTAAATTCATTAAAACATCCTGGTAATTACAGGTAGTTCTTCCCTTAGTTATAAAACTAGTAGTTGTGTACAGATAAATGGATGAAACTAATTGTGTTCCATCCATAAGCACAGGGTTCACATGCTAAATGAGTAAGACTGACTTGAGTTCTTGCTTTGTCTGTTCGGTTTGCCTGTATTTACTGGGTGACTCTGGTAAAAATACCATCAGCTGCAGTAGCACTTTCAAGTGTTTCCACTCAGTGAATGTATACATATAAATTTTTTTAGATTAAAAGATTGGAAGACCCGTTTGAGCTACTTCTTGCAACATTCTTCCTCTCCTGGGAAGCCCAAAACTGGCAAGAAAAGCAAACAGCAAACCTTCATCAAGTAAGTTGAAAATCATGTTCTTGCATATATGGCTAGCTAGCTGTTGAGCTGAAAAGGAGAACTCTAAAGCCCTGACGTACATGAGCTAATGTGCAGAACTTCTCTTGCAGGCCTTCTCCTGAGGAAGCACAGCTGTGGTCAGAAGCATTTGATGAGCTGCTAGCCAGTAAATGTAAGTTCACTTCCTGAATTTGATCCATTCCAAGCATCACAAGAGTCTGGAAAGGTTGTGTCCACGAAACAGAAGAGCAGCTTACATGATGCAATTCAGCTTTACAGTCATTATGACAGACTCCTTTATTCCCCAGTGTTTAGCCATGGACATGCATGGTTCATTCAGATGGGGAAGAAAATTAACCTAAAAAAGTGATAGTGGCAGTTGCTCTTTGTTAAGATTCAGTCAGCTTTTCCACTGCATACAGTGTTTTCAGGAGGCTTAGTTCCCAGAGAGCTTAGTGCTCCCCTATAAATATTTTCACTGACAGTCAAGTGAAGTATTCTTGTCTTTATAGCAGTGTGCCAACTTAAGCCTTTGGTCTCCTGGCATCTTAGTCTTTAAAGAGCTAAATTCTGAGGATTACAAGTTTGAGCGAAATCCAGGAAATTGCTATCATCTAGAAATAATAAAATATGGGGGAGAGGCAAGGGAATGGGAGTTCTAGGGAAAAAAATAAGGGATTATTTGGTCACTCAGTTCACATTCTGCATACTTTTTTTCTCCCTCTCCCCCTGCTTCTCCTCCAGATGGTCTTGCTGCGTTCAGGGCTTTTTTAAAATCTGAATTCTGTGAAGAAAATATTGAATTCTGGCTGGCCTGTGAAGACTTCAAAAAAACTAAGTCACCCCAAAAGTTGTCCTCAAAAGCAAAAAAAATATATACTGACTTCATAGAAAAAGAAGCTCCAAAAGAGGTAAGCGGGGGAAAGTGCTTACTTTCAGCATATTATGAACATTCTTAGCACCAAAGTGAAACAAATGAATTGAAATCAAATTAAAAGGGATGGGTTGGGGGAGGTAAATTTTTTTTCTCTAATCTTAGATTTCAGTCAAGTTTCTTCAGTGACTTGGCTTGTGAAGCTGATCACACATTATAGATTTTTGTTTTCAAATATTAAATAGATTTAAACCTCTAACTCTGAATATGAAATAAGACTTTTTTTTTTTTTTTGCTTTGTTTCAGATAAACATAGACTTTCAAACCAAAACTCTAATTGCCCAAAATATACAAGAGGCTACAAGTGGCTGCTTTACAACTGCCCAGAAAAGGGTATACAGCTTGATGGAGAACAACTCTTACCCCCGTTTCTTGGAGTCAGAATTCTACCAGGACTTGTGTAAAAAGCCACAGATCACCTCGGAGCCCCATGCTACATGAGATGGAAACAGAAGCCCAAAAGTGAAGGACATTTCATTTTTTTCCTAAAGGGGAAGGCTGCAGCCTGCCCCAAAGACTGACTTGAGATCAGCCTGGGTGTTCGGGAGACATTACTCAGAACTGTTGATTGGAAGTTGGAGTCAGTTAGGAAGCTGGTAGTCGTCCAGGAGAAGCTAGTGCCAAGAGGGCTTCCTTAACTGTAGAGAACACAGGGAGAGAGGGGTCCGAATGTGGTGTGTCTCCCACTGGAAAAGCAGGATTGTGAGACTGAAAGATATAATGTAATACTATTGGTCCAAAAGCATTTTCATTATCAGTAGGCCTGGGATTATGTGGCCTTAGCTAGCTGGCTGTGCATCTTTCCCCAAATCAGTCTGATATTACCACATAGTGGTTTTAGTTTTAGTTTATCTTAGTACTAAGTAACATTAAAACGTTTACTACATGCAAGCGTATTGAAGTTCTCATGACTACAGATCATCAGTACTGTTGTCTCATATAACGCTAAAACAGAAATGGTCTGTGTTTTAACTGTTAAGTGGTGTGTCATAGAATGAGTACTGTTGTGTAGAAAGTTCAGCATCCATGATGAGTGCCAAAATCTGTCCTGAAGGCAGCTAAACTTTGAAGTGGTCTTTGAATACTTTTAATAAATTTATTTTGATAAATAATGTTATTGGAAATTTGGTCCAGATGTGGGTGTTTTGTGTTTGCTTGGTAATTGGGAATATGGCAGATACAAAGGAAAATATCTCCTTTCTGATAAAGAAGAGGTATCATAACTGATGTGCCTCAGACCCGAGAAATGAGAGTTGCAAGGAAGATGTGCTCCTATCTCTAATGCTTCTGCAGGTCAAAGGAAGTATGATCGCATCCTGAGAACCTCCCTGGGATCAAGCTTTCTAATATAATCTCATAAAAATCAAGCTTGTTATTAATGGAAACAAAAGAACATCGACCCATTAAAGACGAGCTAAATGTGAGAACTAAAATAATGTAATAGAGACGAAGTACCAAAATTACATAACTAAGCCTCTCAAATGGAAAAAAAAAAAAAAAGCTAAGGTGAACGCAGGCCAGCCTCTTTATTTTCCTCACTTCCAAGTTCCCCCACAGGGCACTGGCATGAGCTTCCAAAATACATACCTGAAACTGTTCCCTCCACAACAGATCGCAAAGTCCGACTCTTCCTAATTAGCTTGCCTTCACTAGACCAAGAAAGAATCTGGTTCTGTTACTTTCACTAATGATGAAGGCAAAAGAAGCATACTTCTGCCTCTTAGATTTAATCTGTGTCGAGAGGAAGACCTTGAATGTGTTATTTTTCGAACTGGCTATTTAGAAAGGGAATATGTTTCCTCAGCCAACTGGCTTTTCAGCCTTCTTGATTATGGTTTTCATTTTAAAAAAGAGAAGGAGGGGGCAAAGCAAGGCAAAAATAAAAGAAAAAAAATAAAACTAAAAAAATAAGGAGAGGTGCCCTCATCTTGGATTTGGAAAATCTAAGCCCTAGTAATGATTTCTGCCCTGGCTCCTCAATTTACACCTTCCTGCATGTCACACTGGTCCCCGTGAGATAGTAAGGGGCTTTAAAAATTATAAAGCACTAAAAAAAAGAAAAGACTTGCTCTGATTTGCTAAAAGAAAAATTGAACTCCCTTAGTTTAAACTGTTTTCACTGTGCTTGTGCTAATTTTCACCTTAATCAGACTTTCTGGCACCAAGAGTCACAAGCTCCATGAAAGACTTTGCCTTGTCCACTCTGTCACCAGCAGCCAGAATAATATATAATAGGTTCTCCATAAATAGTGAAAGGGTCATTGAAAGGGATTTTTCTTTGGAGAATAAATATATCAGGCCTACACAAGCCTTAATTTGGAAAGGTTTTAGCCAGCAGAGAAACCCAGGAGTCATGCCATATATCTGAGTTGTCGCCAAGTCCTATTTATTTTACTTCAAATCTCCAGCCTTCTTTCTATCACCACCCTGATCACAGATGCCAACATCTGATGCCTGGGATGACTGTGATAGTTTCAGCTCACCTCCCCTCACCGTTCATCCCCCTTTAATATGTTCTTTGTTAATTCTAGAGGTCCTTTCAAGACATAAATGGCTCTGGTCTCTTGTTGCTTATAAACCCTTGACAGTTTTCCCAAACAATTAGGATAAAGGCACTATCTCTAATACGGTCTAACACCTGCATGGCTTGACCCCTCCTTCCCACTCCAACCTTGTCCCCACCATATCTTGTCCAGCTCTCTCTGCTAACCAAACTGGCCTACTTGCATCTGCTTGTAAGTGCCATGCCCACTGGTTTCACAGGGCCTTTGCACATAATAGTCCCTCTGTACGGAATGCAATTTTAGCTCTTACTCATCATCCATATATCAGTGCGATTGTCACTTCCTCCTCTAGGAAGCCTTCCTTGACCTTTTCACCTAGATCAGATCCCCTTTGAGACAGTGTTATAGCCCAGGTTCTCTAAAATAGAGCACTTGATAGAGTTCTCATTAATGGGTATGATTATTTGATAATCCTAGGTCTGTCCTTGCTGGATTGTTCATGTCACAATTTGAAGACTGTCTTTTTCTGCTCACTGCTAGATCCCAACACCTAGCACCAAGCCTCGCACACAATGGGAGCTGAATAAATAGTGGTTGAATAAATGAATAAGTATTAAAAGGTGTTACAAATAAATTTTGGTGAAATAAGAAGTATGTAACAAGGCATAAGGAAATAAAGGTTTTAAAAGCTCTATTGGCTTAGATGTCTGAAAATATCTGCAGAGCTTTTTCCTTTGGCAAAAATATAAAATACCTCTTCCTAGGTATGTTCTCTATAACTTTTGACCTTTAATAGAAGGAGAAGCCAGATTATATTAACAAAAAAACAGGAGTTTTGACTTTTTCAGGGCTGCTAAACCACAGGCTTTACTCAGGCGGTATTTTCTAATGTTCTCCAGTGTGGAACAAACTGAAACAGATTTAAGATTAGAAACCACATACCTCCACAAATAAATATTACTTGATGTTCCAGTTTCTCAGAGTTCATACATTTAGGATCCACAGTCCATTCATTTTGATGTTTCATTTTTCATCTATTTTAAGCCCAGGAGTGTTTCAAAATATGGTAATTTCATACAGTCCCACTGGAAAAAAAAAGGAGAAGAAACTGTCTCTTATCTGTCATGTGAGCACAAAGGGGCAATATATGAATTTTAATGAGATAGCTTAAAGTGATCATTCAAAATTTCATAGGAAGGAGGTCTTTGGTAGAGGATTGGTCGATGTGTTTATTTTGCCGCAATATTTGATCATTAATGGCAGCAATTCTCACCTTACAGGAAGGGAGAGTGAAGGAAATTTCTCTGTATCACGAGAGATTTTATGGACAATGGGGATAGAGACCAGCAAGTACTCGCCCTGTGCCAGGTACAATCCTAATTCAAGCTCTGTTTTCCTATGGTAGTCCAAAAATTGCAGTGAAAGAAGAGTCAGACTTTATAAGAGTGTCACCACTATTAAACACTGAACTCTGACGTGTACAGAGATTCCCAGGGTCTGGATTAGATGCCTTTTGACAACTTTAGAAAACCATTTTCAATGTCTTTGTCATTGGCAAGGAGATGTTTACCTAATTCTTGGCATCCTAGCTAAGGAGTAACTTGGAGTTGCCGGAGGTGATAATAACCACGCAAAAGAGCTGCTCTTGTGACCTGGAGGATGAAAAGAAGAGTCACCAGCAGGAGTAGGAGGCTCATCTCAGCCTAAGGCAGCAGCATTAAACAAAGGCCTGAGAAAACTATTGTGTGCCATGACCCATGCCCACACTGCATGTGGAGCATCAAGCCCAGGATGGGCGTAAAAGCACGACCAGGTGATAGAGGACCTTGAATATTAAAAGTTGGGATTTTATTCTGAGGCAATGGGATACCAACTTCAACTAAATAATTTAGACAGCAATACGAAGGATGAATTGGAGGCATGCAGGTGTGTTAGCAGACTTTGGTGATAGCTCCAGATGAGAAATGCCATGTCCCTACACCAGGGACACCAGAATGGTGTCACCAAATAATTCAATATCACTTAATAGCAAATGACACATTACCTACTCTGTGCAGAACTCTGATCTAAACCCTACAGAGATTAAATATAAATACGAGTAAGACATAGTCCCTGTCCTCTAAGAGGCACCAAGTAAGTAACTAATGAAAAAAATGTATAAAAATTAAAACATAAGATGGACAATTGGTGATTAATTATCAAAAGAGAAGTACAAACACCTTTAGCTGGAATGAATCAAGAAACAAAGAGAAGTGACATTTTTGATGAGATTTAAAGAACAGGTAGATTTACTAAGGACTAATGAGGTTGAAGGGGAGAGTATTCAGTGTAGAGAAACAGTTTAAATAATGAGCAAGAGGGAAAGCAGAATGACATCTTGCATTGTGCTGATATTTGTGCAGCCAGTTATTTTTGGTGGGGATATATGTTTTAAAGCTATTATATTGATTCAATTTTTTTTTGCAAATATTTATAAAGGGTTTCTTTGGGCAAGAATGATGTGAAAGAGTAGAAGAAATGGTCATCTACTGAGAAGAAAAGGAACGAGAAGTATGGGAGCTCAGGATCACACCTCAAGGCTACATTGCATTTCTCTTAAAAACAGATTCCCGCAAGATCATCAACCAGCCTAGTCATCAAGCTCTATGACATCTTCCTTCAGGAAATCGCAGGCATCTTTCTTTCTCTTTCTACAGCCAGGTCCTTACTCACCATTGTCATCCTCACGACTGGGTCTCAAGACATCTCAGATCCTATGTCCTGCTTCTATTTATTCCCTAGATTGCCATTTGAACAGTGATATTCTCATGTCGCTCTTAAAACCAGAAAAATATATGAACTCTCTGGTGTCTTCTAAATGATGATAAACTTCGATACCTTAGGCTAAAAATCTCCACTATTTGTTTTTTTCTGTCTATCCAACCTTATTTCTCACCACTGACCAGAAATATTCAAGACTGGATTTTCTTATTGTTCCTGAGATAAATTATCTTTCTATTATTATTAGATCAAATTGCCCCCTTCCTTAGAACTGCTCTTTCTTCCCTTAAATTTTACTCACTTTTCAAGGCTCAGATCAAGTTTCACCTCTATGAAATATTGCCAAGGGTGTGTCAGTTGTATCTTTTAACTAACTGAACCATTTCGGCTTATTCCACTTAATTTTTAATGAGTAAGTTTCCAGACATAGAGATACTCAGTATCCATTGATCACTCTGATTAGCTCATTGATTATTGATTCACAGACTCTTCAGTAAAAATGTATCAGTGATATAAATGATTTCATTTATGTTTGCTAAAGTCATTTACAAAAAAAAAGAATTTTCAGGAGTCCACATAGTTTTTCATTTAGGCTCTGCATTTTTGCCTTGCAAATTTAGGGGCGGGGCGGGGGGGAAACTAAAGTATGTGGATCTTGGATAAGGTCCTAACATTAGGTTTTTCCTGAATCCCAAGTTAATCAGATATTTATATGGTATAAAAAGTACACTGATCTATATAGAAAGTTCCCTTAGGAGCGAGGCCGTGTGTTTATTTAGCTTCTGTATATCTTAGGCATGTACAGACGTCATACCAAAATCAAAATAAGGAAAAAGAGAAATGGACCAAAAAGGAGAGTA